CTTTTGGGATTAATCTTTGACACTCATTTGTCTTGGTCGCCCCATATCTCTTACCTCCGAGTTGAATGCGCTAAGGCCCTTAACCTACTTAAAGTTTTGTCTTATACTTCTTTGGGAGCGGATAGGCGCACGCTCCTCGCTCATCCTGTCTAAACTCGACTATGGTTGCCCTGCTTACTCTTCGGCTTCTACTCCTTCTCTTCGCCGTCTTGATCCTTTGCACCATACTGGATTACGCCTCAGCTCTAGTGCCTTTCGTTCAACTCCTACCCTCAGCTTGTATGCTGACACTGGCTTCCTATCTCTCCAGGACCGCCGTGATCGCTAGTCTTCGCTATCTTGCACGGTCATTACAGCATCCGCACTCTCGCCTCTGTTGTACTTTAACTTTTACCCCTCCAGTAGTTCCTGTTCCTCTTCACCACCTTCCTCTTTCTGTCCATTTGTCTCACTTACAAGATTCTCTTTCGGTTCGTATTACCAATGTTTCTCCGTATTGTTCCGTCCTTGCCCCCGTGGAGGGTCCCCCTTCCCAAATTTTGTACTTTCCTGACCTGCATCACTAAAGCTTTGACCCCTTCTACAGTTCTGAAAGGCCTTTTTCTTTAGCACTTTTCTTCACACTCCCACTCCGTTTCCATCTTCACCGATGGATCTAAGTCTGCCGACGGTGTGGGCTACTCTGTTGTTTTTCCTGACCACACTTATATGTGTCACCTTCCTCCGGAAGCTAGCATCTTCACAGCAGAACTTTATGCTATTCTCTATGCTCTTAGTCTCCTGCTTTCTCGTTGTCAATCCTCCTTTGTGGTGGTAGTTGACTCTCGTAGTGCCCTCATGGCCTTGGGGTCCTTTAATCCAATCCTCCCGGTGGTCATCGAGATTCAACATTGGCTGTTTCTTATCTCTAGTAATTTTAAGTTGGTAGAGTTTTGCTGGGTTTCCAGCCATGTTGGTGTCTCTTTAAATGAGTGTGCGGATGCTGCCGCTAAGGAAGTTATCCACACTTGTCCCATCTCCTGTAAAGGTATTCCTTATTGCGATTTTTACTCAATTATTCATTCCTCCATCCTTGCCCGTTGGCAGGATTGTTGGTCTTCTGTTACTGGTATCAAACTGCATACTATTAAGTGTCATGTGTCCCTGTGGCCTTCCTCCTACCACTGTAACCGGCGGTGGGAAACGGCTGTGGCTTGGTTACGTATTGGCCATACACGTTTAACTCACGGTCACTTAATGGAGCGCCGCCCTGCTCCTTATTGTCCAAATTGCATTGTTCCTTTTACGGTCGTGCACATTCTTGTTGAATGTCCTGACTTCCATGACGCGCGTGTGTCTTTGTTTTCCGACCGTCCCTCGCAGTCACTTGTTCCTCGATAAAATTCTTGGCGAATCGAATACGTTTGATATCGTTCGCCTTATGCGTTCTTGTACCCGTATTGGCATTCTTAGTGTTATTTAGCGTCCTATGATTATTTCGCACATTTGATGGTGCTACATAGCCTTCCCGGCTTGGTGCCTTCTTTAGATAATTACTTATATTTTGAGTTGGGAGTCCGAATAAACATCTGGGCCTCTACCACTCAGACCGAACTATTTGCCTTGATCCTTGCACTGAAATGTGTACAAGTCTCCAAACTTGATACATTAATTGTAAATGACTCTTTATCATCTGTAATTGCTGTCAACTCTTTAAGACATAACTGTAACATGCTCGTGTCTGAAGCTAGACACAGATACAACAAAATTATTAATGATGGTAACTGAGTCCATTTCATGTGGACTTCATCTCATGCTGGCCTCCAAATGCACGATAGAGCTGATGAGTTAGCCGAAGAATCTGCCTTTAAAGAAAAAAGTGAGTATAATCTCGGACTGCCAATAAGCAATCTGAGAGCAATAGTACACCAAGAACTTCAACAAAATCTTGTAGTTCTGAGGCAAAGTGAAATCGACACCAGTAATTCCATTGATCATCTTACTATCATGCAAGAGGAGCCACACATCTATTTATCATCCAATACAGTCAGCAGACTTCTAGATGTTACTACTGCTCGGCTTAGACTCTGTTACAAGTATCTCTGGGAATTCTCATTATCTGCTGATGTAGACCTGACCAAATGTAAACTGTGTCAACAAAATTATTCGCACACCCTCCGTCACTTTGTGATGGAGTGCGAAAAGATACGTGAATTCAGAGACAAATTTATAATAAATATTCCAGAGATGTGTAAATAATTTAAAATGATCTGCTACCAGAAATCTTACCCAAATATCCCAAGTTTACTAACTGTAGGTAGTAACTAAGTGATTGTAACCTATCCACCGCTGCCCACTGGATGGGGGGCGGTGTGCAGAACAAACATAGAAATTGTAACACTAGATCTCCACATATCTCAACTGCTTAATTCAGAAACTGTACTTGTGGTCGATCTCGAATCCATTGATGATGTAACGATGTGTATTGAATTTTGTAACTAGCTCATCAAGATTGTAACTTGCTTAGCTAAATGAATTTTGGGGTTCAGTCCCTGAGCCCATTGTGTCTCTTTAACCCTTTCCACTACCGCCCACACGATGCAGTCACCACCAGCCTCCTGTACCAAGCACACACCCGCCTCCTGTACCAAGCACACACCAGCCTCCTGTACCAAGCACACACCCGCCTCCTGTACCAAGCACACACCCGCCTCCTGTACCAAGCACACACCAGCCTCCTGTACCAAGCACACACCAGCCTCCTGTACCAAGCACACACCCGCCTCCTGTACCAAGCACACACCAGCCTCCTGTACCAAGCACACACCAGCCTCCTGTACCAAGCACACACCCGCCTCCTGTACCAAGCACACACCAGCCTCCTGTACCAAGCACACACCCGCCTCCTGTACCAAGCACACACCAGCCTCCTGTACCAAGCACACACCCGCCTCCTGTACCAAGCACACACCAGCCTCCTGTACCAAGCACACACCAGCCTCCTGTACCAAGCACACACCAGCCTCCTGTACCAAGCAGGAAGCCTGTAATTAGAATAATGGAGGTGCCAGCTCCACACCTTAGGCCAACCACTGACAATATCCAGGATGCAACCTACAACAGTTGCCTATCTCCCGGGTATATTTTTACTGCTTAGTGAACAGAAGCATCAGATCAAAAGAAACGTTGTCCAACTGTTTCTGTCCTGTCTTAGGATTGAACCCGGGCTCCTCGAATGTAAACCGAGGATGTAGACTACTGTGCTACTGTACATAGTATAGTGGATAGTGCTTCTGTCTTCTACTGGTGGGGTCGGTGGTTCGAGTCTCCTAGTGCCCAGGTGATTGAAATGTTTATTATCCACCGCGTTGTGTGACTGACAATTTATGAATATATTTGTATATGTATGTATGTATGTATGTATGTATGTATGTATGTATGTATGTATGTATGTATGTATGTATGTATGTATATATATATATATGTATGTATATATATATATATATATATATATATATATATATATATATATATATATATATATATATATATATATATATATATGCGAACAAGCCTGAATGGTCCCCAGGACAATATGCAACTGAAAACTCACACCCCAGAAGTGACTCGAACCCATACTCCCAGGAGCCACGCAACTGGTATGTACAAGACGCCTTAATCCACTTGACCATCACGACCGGACATAATGAGGTGATAGCCGAGGCTATTTGAACCACCCGGGAGCTCCCACAAAGGACCGGCTCCCACAAAGGGAGCCGGTCGGCCGAGCGGACAGCACGCGGGACTTGTGAGCCTGTGGTCCTGGGTTCGATCCCAGGCGCCGGCGAGAAACAATGGGCAGAGTTTCTTTCACCCTATGCCCCTGTTACCTAGCAGTAAAATAGGTACCTGGGTGTTAGTCAGCTGTCACGGGCTGCTTCCTGGGGGTGGAGGCCTGGTCGAGGACCGGGCCGCGGGGACACTAAAAAGCCCCGAAATCATCTCAAGATAACCTCAAGAATCTCAAGATAACCCCACCGCCGGCACTCGGATAGTAATCTTGGGCATAGCATTTTACCAAATCACGTCATTCTTTGGGGCACACGTGAGGAACACAAATGCGTTTATTATGGTCCCCAGGACAATATTTGTGTTCCTCACGTGTGCCCCAAAGAATGAGGTGATTTGGTAAAATGCTATGCCCAAGATTACTATCCGAGTGCCGGCGGTGGGGTGGTTCAAATAGCCTCGGCTATCACCTCATTATGTCCGGTCGTGATGGTCAAGTGGATTAAGGCGTCTTGTACATACCAGTTGCGTGGCTCCTGGGAGTATGGGTTCGAGTCACTTCTGGGGTGTGAGTTTTCAGTTATATATATATATATATATATATATATATATATATATATATATATATATATATATATATATATATATATATATATATATATATATATATAATATATAATTCAGCGCCTTAGTGTGGCAATCCAGAGAGGAAATGCTCACTGCATCCATGGTTCCTGCCCGCCATCTGAGGAGCTGGAAGAGCTGTACAACTTGTGACAAGCAGCCTTGTACCCTGCTTGTAATCAATATTGTAACTTTTTTGTGTAATGACGTTTTCAAATAAAGTTAGATAAATATACACACTTAACAAAAGAATAGGAGTGGTAGGAGAAGAAAATATCAAAGTGTTCAGTGAGGATCCACAAGGTCTTCTCTGAGTACTCTTTATTTTCTTCTCCGAGGCTATGGGTCCCTACACTTGCACCAGAGGTGGTACCCCTTCTATAATATATATATATATATATATATATATATATATATATATATATATATATATATATATATATATATATATATATATATATATATATATATAAATATAATATATATTGAAGCCATAAAATGGGATCGAACTCAAGATTTGTGTGGCGACTCTTGGCTCCTCAGACCATATGAGGGAAACACAGGAATATCCTCTCATATATCCTTGGAAGGAAAAAAACAAGATCAAATTAGAAAAAGACATTTTTATTGTCATTTTTATACAAAGATCACAGTTAATTTAATGTTTGTGAAACAACTAAAAGAACTAATTAGCATCTACGTAACAATCCCAGTGATTTTTGCAATGAGTTGCAATGACGAGTTACTTAGATACGACTTAAGTTTACAAGATATTTAAGACGATCACGTCGTGTTGAATCACACGGGACTTTCTCTTTATTTTTGTTATTAAGTGATGAAGAGGGATGACTGTGTGAACATTTGGGAATGTACATATATGACTGATCTTGTGTTGAATAGTTCAGGGTCGTGGCTGCCTTGTTGCCCACAAGGAATATTTTTGCACATGTGTGAACATTACTGGATAATACATTAAAGTTGTTAAGAGAACATCACAGCAGCTGTAGAACATCAGCAGCTGTACAACATAACTGTATAACATATGACCATTGTTGTAGAACATCACTGTACAGGCACAAGCACCTGTACCAAGCACACACCCGCCTCCTGTACCAAGCACACACCCGCCTCCTGTACCAAGCACACACCCGCCTCCTGTACCAAGCACACACCAGCCTCCTGTACCAAGCACACACCCGCCTCCTGTACCAAGCACACACCCGCCTCCTGTACCAAGCACACACCCGCCTCCTGTACCAAGCACACACCCGCCTCCTGTACCAAGCACACACCCGCCTCCTGTACCAAGCACACACCAGCCTCCTGTACCAAGCACACACCCGCCTCCTGTACCAAGCACACACCAGCCTCCTGTACCAAGCACACACCCGCCTCCTGTACCACGCACACACCCGCCTCCTGTACCAAACACACACCCGCCTCCTGTACCAAGCACACACCCGCCTCCTGTACCAAGCACACACCCGCCTCCTGTACCAAGCACACACCCGCCTCCTGTACCACGCACACACCAGCCTCCTGTACCAAGCACATACCAGCCTCCTGTACCAAGCACACACCCGCCTCCTGTACCAAGCACACACCAGCTTCCTGTACCAAGCACACACCCGCCTCCTGTACCAAGCACACACCAGCCTCCTGTACCAAGCACACACCAGCCTGCTGTACCAAGCACACACCAGCCTCCTGTACCAAGCACACACCAGCCTCCTGTACCAAGCACACACCAGCCTCCTGTACCAAGCACACACCAGCCTCCTGTACCAAGCACACACCCGCCTCCTGTACCAAGCACACACCAGCCTCCTGTACCAAGCACACACCAGCCTCCTGTACCAAGCACACACCAGCCTCCTGTACCAAGCACACACCCGCCTCCTGTACCAAGCACACACCCGCCTCCTGTACCAAGCACACACCAGCCTCCTGTACCAAGCACACACCAGCCTCCTGTACCAAGCACACACCCGCCTCCTGTACCAAGCACACACCCGCCTCCTGTACCAAGCACACACCCGCCTCCTGTACCAAGCACACACCAGCCTCCTGTACCAAGCACACACCAGCCTCCTGTACCAAGCACACACCCGCCTCCTGTACCAAGCACACACCAGCCTCCTGTACCAAGCACACACCCGCCTTCTGTACCAAGCACACACCCGCCTCCTGTACCAAGCACACACCCGCCTCCTGTACCAAGCACACACCAGCCTCCTGTACCAAGCACACACCCGCCTCCTGTACCAAGCACACACCAGCCTCCTGTACCAAGCACACACCCGCCTCCTGTACCAAGCAGGAAGCCTGTAATTAGAATAATGGAGGTGCCAGCTCCACACCTTAGGCCAGCCACTGACAATACCCAGGATGCAACCTACAACAGTTGCCTAGCTCCCGGGTATATTTTTACTGCTTGATGAACAGAAGCATCAGGTGAAATGAAACGTTGCCCAACCATTTCTCTCCTGTCTTGGGATTGAACCCGATTCCCTCGATTGTGAACCGATGATGTAGACTACTGTGCTACAGAGGCATATAGACCAGTTCAGCGTGGTCGTGTTTACTCCCTGATGAGTTATGGGTTACAAATAAGTCTTTGTAATACACATAAAATACAAAGATTATATACATATATTTGTACAGTTTGGGGCTCCTGCCACCCCTACCAGCCAGCCCGCGGGCCTCTTATTAAATGACAAAAAATATCTGCAATGAAATATAATTATGTAATAAAAATCAGCTAGCTAAAGCTCTGCCTTATTTTTTTTTGTTTGCTAAATCAAATATAATAAATTTACAGAAGCATTTAGGTATTCTTTTAATTAATATGTTATGATAATCAGGTATATTAATCTGAATACTGCGGAGCTGAAGAAGACGGAGCCTATGCCCAGCTTGTTGAGAATATCATAAAATGAATAAGTTTTTAGTATCGTGTATTTCCTTTGGCTTGGATTTCTAGTCCATAATTAGTACGTTTTTTTGCACACAAATTGTCGACAAACTTATGTTTTTGCTGTTAGGTAAATTAAGAAAAACTGCCTGGCTTATATGGCGATGGTTATGGAACAAGGGTGTGTTAGGGCGGAGACAAGGGCCACAGGAACGGCACCGCCACCAGCTGCACCACCGCCACCACCACCAGCTGGGCGAGGCTGTAGAAGCAACAAGGACCCACGGTGGTGCTCGCACCATTGGTCTGCATGGCTGCAGGCTTCTCTCCTGCAACAAACCACACACAAATATACACAATAGTTGGTACATAAAATATAAACAGAGTGTCTCAACAAAATCTATATACACATAATGAGTTCAGTCCCAGAGCCCATTATGTGCCTCTGTAACCCTTCCACTGCCGCCACAAGATGGGTATGGGGTGCATAATAAATGAACTAAACTCGTTAAAACACTTTGGAGTAACGGTGATCCAATAGTGTGCTAACAACACAATATTGTATCACTGTCAGCGACGGTGATCCAGCATTATTCCACCGTCTTTGTTGCTCGACTTGGTGACTGCTAACTCTTTCCTAACATCCTTGACAAGTTAAGACAGAAGGTATCATAATTATGATATATTAATCAAATACACAATTTAACACCTGAATTAAGTAATTGGCTTTCGTCTCGAAAAAACACAAAAGTTAAGAATTAACTGTTATCTGTGTGTATATATATTTTTTGAAATGCCCTGTATTGCTATGGTTTTGTTTATGTTCTCAAACTAGATGCTATTTTCTATATAAATTCATAAGAACAAATTATTATTTTTATTTCTGAAAAAATTATGCATAGGGGGATGGTAATAACGAGAAAGCGCTAAGGCAGTGTGTGACTATAGCAAGTGTATGGAATATGAGGACAGGGAAGGAGCTGGGATATGAGGACAGGGAAGGAGCTGGGATATGAGGACGGAAGGAGCTGGGATATGAGGACGGAAGGAGCTGGGATATGAGGACAGGGAAGGAGCTGGGATATGAGGACAGGGAAGGAGCTGGGATATGAGGACAGGGAAGGAGCTGGGATATGAGGACAGGGAAGGAGCTGGGATATGAGGACAGGGAAGGAGCTGGGATATGAGGACAGGGAAGGAGCTGGGATATGAGGACAGGGAAGGAGCTGGGATATGAGGACAGGGAAGGAGCTGGAATATGAGGACAGGGAAGGAGCTGGGATATGAGGACAGGGAAGGAGCTGGGATATGAGGACAGGGAAGGAGCTGGGATATGAGGACAGGGAAAGAGCTGGAATATGAGAACCGAGTAAAGGAACGGCGCACAACTACTTGAACCATAGAGACATAGAGGATCGAACACCGACCCTGCAAGATACAAGGCCTTAACCGTACCGACAAGTCAAATGGATGGGTACTCGGGGTGGGGGGGGGGATAGATCACTGAAAATATATATTCAATGCCAGCGTTAATACCAGCCCCGTTCCCACCGCCTCATGAATAGGAAGCGTCCACTACCGCAGTCAGTCTTCGATTTAAGGTTCTTTTATTTAGCGTTTTCCCCGGTTCTAACAAGTGGTTTTGGAGACCGGTAACTGGAGGTCCCCAAACCTCATAAGACCTCATATACCGATCTGGCGGAGGATAAACAGCAGGCCGGTACTGGGGTTGTCAAGGGCCGGGCCCGCCCTCACACCGAGCCTGTGATCGTCAATGAGTCGTAAATAAAATTTTAAATATTAATTAAACTTATCATTTTTTAAAGTAAATTACAAATGAACATTAAGAAAATATTAGGAAACAATTGTTAATAAGAAAAAATTCTTTATTTGTCTTTTAAAATACCTTTTATAGTATAACTTTTAAAGACCGGTACGGAGCCGGTCGGCCGAGCGGACAGCACGCTGGACTTGTAATCCTGTGGTCCTGGGTTCTATCCCAGGCGCCGGCGAGAAACAATGGGCAGAGTTTCTTTCACTCTATGCCCCTGTTACCTAGCAGTAAAATAGGTACCTGGGTGTTAGTCAGCTGGGAGTTAGTCACTCCTTCCTGGGAGTGGAGGCCTGGTCGAAGACCGGGCCGCGGGGACACTAAAGCCCCGAAATCATTTCAAGATAACCTCAAGATATGACGATAGGTATTTTTTTTCCTTTAATTTTTTAATTATTTTTTTTTCATTAGTAGGTTCTTCATCATCTGCTTCAGGTCTTGAATGAGTTCTTCACGATGTTCCTGATACCTAACTTCAGCTTCAGCTAACTGATAGCTCGGGCACGGGAGCTCGTCACCCTCAGTCACTGTTGACTGTGGACGACCGCCTTCAGTTTGGAAGAACTTATTATTTTAATTGTGATCTTCAATTTCAGTTGAATTAAAAACACGATTCCTAAACTTACCAGCACACAGGCAAAGGCAGGTCGCCAAAGGAAGCGCCTGTTGTACAAAGCTGGAAATCATTCACAAACTTGATAAAGAATATTCTCATGTGCGAGTAGCAGTAAAGTTTAGCATCGGGAAAAGTACAGTAAATGATATTAAAAAGCAGAAGGAAATGCTATTGAAATACGTTAACACTACAGTGTGCTACGCCTGGTATTGCATATTCCAGGAAGGCAGTAAAGGCTGCTTATCATCCACAATTGGGTGCTGCAGTGTGTAAGTGTGTTAATCAGCACAGTACAGTTTTACATTGCAATACAATTTGAAGACTTAAAGTTGCAGCAAATAAACTTGCTATTCAACTAGATATAAAATATTTCACTGCAAGTGATGGGTGGATTTGAAGACTTAGAGCTCGACGTAATATTTCACACCTAAAAAAATTCTGGTGAGGCTTCAAGTGCTGATCTCATTAATGTTAAATTATTTAAGGATAATTTAAATCTGTACATTATCAGTAATAATAGAATCAAATAACAAGTGTATATTGCTGACGAGACGGTTTATGTGGAGAGTTGTACCCAGTAAATCCTTGACCAGTAGAATGTAGGAAAATATTTCTGAACGAAAGAGAAGCGAGGAACGACTCTCAAGAGTTTGTGCTGATCGATGCTTCTCACAAGACAAAGTGTGCAAGTCTAAAAATCCTCAAGCCTTAAAAAATGTAATGCAGTCACTACCCGTTAGACACTACAGTTCAAAGAACTCATGGTTTAATCAGTCAATATTTATGGCCTGGTTTGAAAACCACTTTTGCAAGGAGGTAAGAGAATTCCAGATCAAAAAATGTACAATAAAGGCCAATGAGGTTAAGGCATTGTTGCTGCTAGATAATGTTCCTTCTCATCCCATTAGCAAGTAGATTTCATGGGATGGCAAAATAAAATGCATGGAACTTCCACTAGACAACATCTATGATCCAGCCCATGAATCAAGGTGTTATTCCTGTTGTTTCACTTAGCGAGGAGGATGTATTGGCAGGGAGGACTCAAAGGGCTCAAAGAATACTAGAAAATCTCAGAAGTACACAATTAGGGAAGGAATCTTCCACTGGACTAGGCTTTCGAATAAAGTGAAAGAAATCACACAAAGTTACGCGGAAAAAAACTTTTAACAGAGGCGTGCGAAGCAGCATTATCTGATAATGAATCTGAATAATTTAAATTGTAGCCAACGATTTTGAATGGTTTCAAGACAGGATCTGTACAATGTTCCTTCAGGCTAGTTAGGATGTAGGAGTGGATGACATCAATATATGGTTAGAAAATGATTACGATCCTGATCATGAATTGTTAACTGAAGAACAGATCGCTCAAAGAATTCTTGGAAATGATGATGACTAAGGATGACTCGGACGATGGTGGTGAGGAGGAGGCCTGGAGGTGTCGATGTCAGAAAATATTGCAACGCATTGAAGAACTCGTTGAATATTCAAGAAAAAGTAAACATGAGGTTGTTGAAAGTTTCTATGTACACTTAATAACTTTAGTAACTTTTAACCAATGTCTCAGCAAGTTAACCAGAGATAACTTGATTCAGACTAAAATCGATAAATTCACGAGTTGAAGCTTCCGCGAAAGTTCTTCGTCTAAAAGCCATGCTGTCCCAGATGCTGAATTTCCATAACAAGCCATGCAGCATCCGCTGACGATGATAAGTATAGTGTTAAGTGTTACCGAATTAAGCCTTGCATAAAAGACTACCGTGTACTGTACATTGAAATGTACATAGTATAAATGCAGACTTGTTTCAATTGTACAAGTGTGTTACAGCTGTCAGTCAACATTTTTTTATTAAAGTGCAGAGCATTACTCATTTGCGTATTAGCCGTAGTTAACTAATGCGAAATGAAAAATAAGTGTACATACTGTATAGTTTTAAATAGAGAATGACAGAATCCTTGTACAGTATACACTGTCATGAACAGTATTTTACTACACTGAACAATTCAATATAAGCGCAACAAAGGACGACATAATCTTCACAACTTCGCAAAAAGTAAGTCAGTTTGTCCATTTGATTATTGCAACATATTATGTTTTTGTTCAACAATAGCAATATATTAGTCTCTGTGACTGTATATTCTATCATTAGCACAACAAAAGTCCTCCCAATATTCCGTCTTAGTACAGACTTGAATATTCAATATTTCTCTTGGTTAGTCTGTTGCTCGATTGCCATTGCATGGCTCGGCCACAGCCAGTGTCGTAACAAAAAAATAACAAAAATTTTTACAAGTATAAGGTAAAGGAAAACACATTTCAAATTTGTATTAAGGAAATAGTAACAATCATTTATTGTTACAATTTAAATATTTCGCTAGCACTACATAGAAATTAGCCGATATTTTCCACCCATCTGGACCTTCAGCAGCCCGTCCACCTAAGGTTTCCCAACGTCAAGAAACTGTCGTACTGAATTGCCCTATCCTAATTTACCAGAGGACCCACAACAGAAAACGGGACAGTATGTCAATTTTCGCGAGCCGCTACCATTTTCTAGTACAGTACGAAAATTTTTGGCCTTAGGTAGAGTATACTTCAAAATGAGACGTTATATTAGGAGGACGGGTTGCAGATTCCGTGTCCACGCATCACCCGTACTGTATATGACAGCTAGTTTAATCGTCGGCGATTCACTAACTTGGAACACAATTACATACTGGAATTATACAGAACTTTGAACACTACACAAAACTTTTAGGCATTGTAGTTAGTAAGAAAGCTACACAACTTCTCAAGGAGAGGGAAGTGAAACAATGTTTTAAAATACTGTTCAATACAGACGTTACTGCAATAGTACAGTTCACTGCTGTACTTAACTGTAGTATTTTATTATTCATAAAGCTATTGTAATTTATATAATTTTTGTAAAGAAAAACATCTTTTAGTGGCATGAATAAAACACAAAATATTACTGATATTTCAACCACAAACGTGGATAATAAAATTTAACCTGTCCTCAAGGAGGACATCAGCTCACGGGTATGGATTCAAAACGACTACTTAATTAGTGCTTAATTATTAATTGTCTACTCTTTATCTATATTTCAATTAGGTTAAGGTTAGGTTAGGTTCGGTTTCATTACTTTTGTTTCCTTAACATTGTGTATTATTGATGAAAATATGGAATTCAAAAACTATTTGAGTGTGTCCGAGAATTCCGTTTGCAGAAAATCAAATCCTTCGGACTTTCAAAGATAACGTTTTCAGAATATTTTGTTATATTTTTAACCAACAATTTATAATGCAATAAAATTATAACTTATGAATAATATTTCTTCAAGACAAAGTTTCACTTGCCAGTTTACATGTAGCCTAGTACTGGAACCGTAATATGCTGTCAGACCATCACAAATATCTAGATAACTATCCATGTGATTTGAGGGGAGGAGGGTTTCTCATGGTAATGTATTTGCTCTGAGGACGGGCTCTATCATTTCACTCACTTTGGCACTAATGCGAAAAAAATCCTATATAAATTGCCATCCACACTTCCATGGAAATAAACATTCCAATCATCGAACTCGAACCACCGACTCCAGGAGCAGGAGACTATCGACCAAGGTGCGCACAAGCTTCAACAAGAGAAGGTCCCAGATACACACCACTGGTATCCAACTGGGACTTTATACCTCTCCTGGGCTGTCACTAGAGCATGAAGGAATTAGGTTCCTATTTACTGCTTGGTGAACAAAGGTATTATGTGTAAGAAAAGTGCCCGACCACTGCTGACCCGTTCAGGAATCTAACTAGAAGCAGCCCCTTCACACGTATACTGAACATTACTAATGCATTAAATTCCTTCACTGAGCACTAGAACACCCCTTCACAAGATTGTTGGAGCGTTTTTACCGTCACAACGTAACACATAACGTAGAGTTTGCTTTATGAGTTTAGTGGGACCCCCTAACTATACCTACACTTACCATTGAGAATGTGTATCCTGACGGAGGCGGTTGCGGAGTGGGAGGGCACGCAGGAGTAGGTGCCGGTGGCGGCGTCATGGGCGTCATGGATCAGCAACACGGTCTTCGTGATCGAGCCCCGGTCCGTGATGACGCTCACACGACTGTCTCGGTTGTCGTAGTTGATAACCTGGCGGTATGGAGTAGAGATTAGTGTAATTAGTGTAATTAGGTGGATATATATATATATATATATATATATATATATATATATATATATATATATATATATATATATATATATCCTATTATTATCCATTATGTTTCATCTACTTGTTCATCTCAATCACGTCCTGTACCACCTTACCCTAAGAGAATATAAACCTTTGCAAATGCATGGTAAATTTGTCTTTGAAAATGTAAGGAGCGCCTTGCGAAACGCATCCCTAGGCGTCAAACCATAATAAAGTGTGAAAATGAACTTTGTAGAGCTACATTAAATTAAATGTTCACAGGCTTCACAGTTTTTCACCCTAAAGTGATAAATAACCTATATATTTAGGGAATCGATGCTTGAATACAATTCCCAGCCTCAATAAATTAAACATTTTCAAGAGCCTCATGATTGAGAGCATTTGGGAAGGTCAGTCTTATCTGTAAAGTATTGTACTCTCTAAACCCTGAATAAAGTACCCAACCAACAAGTACGATGCCTTCAATCTACCAAGCAAGTCACGAAGCTTACAATAAGAAAGTCTCACGTTCTAGCAGATACCAATGTGGTGATCCTGAGAAAGTTTAAAGTTTCAACTCCCAGCAAACACACGACGTAACCATAACAAGATAACACTGGTGTTACGTTATTACAACGTAAAATAACATGTGCTTGCTGGGAGCTTAAGTAGTCTCTCCCTTTTTCCCTTTTCTCGCTCCGTCTCTTTTATTTTATTATTATTCCTGCTGCCTCGACTCCTCTTTCCCGCTCACCTTGTTATTGTGGTACCAGAAGATCTCAGTGGGGGATTCTGGGTTGAAGTTGATGATGCAGGTGAGGTTGATGGTGGAGCCTCTGTCCACGTACCGCTCGGCTGAGCCCAGGATGTGCGCCGTCGGTACTTAGGGGCACAGAATGTGGAGATTAATCTCGTGTGGCTGGCTGGTAAGGACGAGCACATTGGTGTCCTCTTAAAAAGAACGTCGCTTTTGGCCGTTTGCCCGTATGACCGAATATGGACGTAATTTGAAAATGAAAATAAATTTGGGATTTTTTTTTCAACAACAATAAGTTAAGGGTCCTCTGATAGGTTAGGTGGGCAGGAAATTCTCATAAAGTTTCAAAACGTTATGAAAAACGTTAATGGAAAGTTTCCTCTTTAAGCTTGCCGAGTAGGCCGGACGACTCAAACAGAAAACGGGACAGTACGTCACTTTTGTGAGTCGATTTCATTTCAAATTACGTCCAAATTTGGCCGCATACCAGCGAAAAGTGACGTTATTTTTAAGAGGACGGGTTGTGGTAAGAGGGAGGATGGGCACAGGGGAAAGGTTAGTGTTATTGATTTGGTGGACTGACGTTTAGTCAAATAACGGCAAAGGAAGGGATTAGTGTTTAATTAGTGCAGCAGAGATGTTGACAAATTAGTACATAGGATGTGAAGTTGAATAATTAGCATTCAGTGAAGTAAATAAATTACATATAGTTAATGTGGAACCTATTGGTTTTAGCCAGAGGTGTCCGTGAGTAATTAATATGCTTGCACAAGTAAACAAATGGAGATTCTTATAGCTCAGCTTCTATGAAAAGAAAATCCTAGACCCTAGACCACCACTATACGGCATGGTCAAAAGCAATGCCAAGTGTGCGGGTTCGAATCCTCCACATGGCTCCTACTGATTTTCTCATTGATACATCACGTTAATGTGGTTTTATTGTGCACAATTTGTAACATTATGTAACAGTGGTGCACACAGCGTAGTAATGGGTGAAGGAGTGGGTGGCTAATAGGCGGTTAGGTATAGTGACGGAAGCTCCCATCATGAAGCTGGTGGCTGGCATTCGAGTAACTTAGTGGACGGAGAAGGCATTATGCAACACCCTCCCTCCGACCTCCCCCCCCTTCCCCCGTGATGACCGTGATGAGGGAAATCTAGTATAAATCATATAATTAATTTAAGAGCTAATTGTGCCGTGGCTATGATTCTTATGCAGCTGGTGATTCGCGTGATCAGTAGTATATTTACCATGCCAGTGTTGCTCTGTGTATGCTCTAATTTACTTGGATGGAGAAAAAGAAAGTCGACTTCTTCAGACGGTGATTTCACCGTGAGAATGCTGCCTCGAGGGAGGCCCTAAAGCTTGCTATTGCTGTTCCTGATGATGAGTGGGCTGACCAGAACGTGTCGCCCACTCCGTTGGCCGCTTTCGATTGGGTACTAAGAGCTGGTATTTTTTCAGGTACTACTTTACTCTCACAACAAAAGTAAGGTGGCTCGTCACTGATGGGAATAAGAAGTATCTAGTGATTTGTGGATGGTTGTTAATTACACACACACAAACGCAGTACAGTGATAAACTAGATAGTGATTGCTATCTCACAGTTAAAAAGACAGTCTGTGGGGTTTAGACGAATGATGAGAGATATTTCCGTTGTCAGGAATAGGTAGCGTGTACTTAGGCCCATCTAGGTCCCTCTAGTTCAGGAGTTGGGAACATTTTTGTGTGATATTGTGCCGAAACTGGCAAACGTCGAATAATTATTTTTGTCAATGTTGTGTATAAGGGGAAGGGAACTATAATGAAAAAGCGCCAAGCCATTATGACTATATAGCACTTGGAAGGGATCAAGATACAGATTTGGGATGGGACATAACGGTGCCTAACCACTTGGACGGTCGGTCAGCAAAGCGAGACCGTCGCTCGATCAAAAGTTTAAAATATATTATAAAATCAAAATGTTGACACTGTTGGGTACAGAACGGACGATTACTGTTAGCGGGCTGAAAGATTTTCCATCCCATAGCTCATGTTAAGCCTAACCCACTATTTCCCTACAATGCTCAAAAATTGCATTTGAATGCCTGTTTTATCATGATTTTGAAGATTTGCCATGTGTTTTTTTAGATTTGGGAAATATTTAAAAGTGCCATTGGTAACTACGCTTAAAATTGTTCAGTTTGATTTAAAAGGCTTTTATGATGTTTAAGTCATTTAAATATGAAGATAAATCAGTGAAAAAAAATCTATCTACAAATCCACACGTTGGTTAATTCTTCACAATAATTTTTTTTTCAAAACCAGACAAATTTCATCCAAATGATCAACAAATCATTTGACAGAACCTCTACTTAGAAAACAAACATTGTTGTACATGAGTAGTCCTCTATACAATGAACTCGAATCGCTAAGTAAATTCTGAAAATGTCGTTTTTCAGTGCACGCTCAGAAATATAATCATCTTGGTTACAATTTTCATCACTTCTTCAATGAAGCCTTAAGGCCAGCTTTGCACACAAGGGATCCTCGTGTACAATACAATGGAAGCCTAACTGTGGCTGTCCAACATATTTTGCAAACATTTACAAAACCTGCTTCTTTACCACCCATGCTGGGCGCACCATCAGTAGTCACACCAACTATTTTTGAAAGATCATCCGTCGAATAGACAGTTAAATATTTATTTATTTCCTATGGGTGGGGTTTAAATAATGAAGGGACGGCATAGGCTGTACGCCGCGTGCCGCAGATACGCCTCCACCTGCCCCAGACCACATATAAAAAAACCACATACTGATCATCCCCAGGATGTAACCCACAACCCTTGCTATCTATTTACTGTTAGGTAAACTGACCTTCATCAGGATGTAACCCACAACCCTTGCTATCTGTTTACTGTTAGGTAAACTGACCTTCATCAGGATGTAACCCACAACCCTTGCTATCTGTTTACTGTTAGGTAAACTGACCTTCATCAGGATGTAACCCACAACAATTGCCTAACTTCAGGGTGCCAATTCAACTGCTAGGTGAACATAGGCATCAAATGAAAGGAAACTTGCCCAACCGTTTCTGGTCTCCCAGGTGTCTCGATGTGAGCTGAGAACGTATACCACTTTGCTGCAGTACAGATAAGATGTCGAATATTTAAGTAAGGGGGTTTAATCGGGAGAATAATAAAAGTGATTAATATGGATTAATAAAACTGAAGGAATAAATAACAAAAACAATCCAAATAATGAACAATAAATTAAAAACCTATGAAGAACGAAATAAAATTTGTAAGTGAAAACAAACCTGATTTGAGGAAAACGAACAAGTGATGTTTTTTCATACGAAGACAAGAAAGGGACTGAAATTAATTCTAGGAGAGACTCCTGAATTAGTACCAATAGAGACTCTGGAATTAGTTCCAGGAATGAGTCTAGAATTACTCCCAGCAGAGACTCTGGAACTAGCTGTGTGAAGCACCGTATTTGCTTCGCTGTAGGTGTATATGACGCGCACTAACTTACAACGATATTTATCGAAAAAACAAAATGATGTTTCATTATACATTTATTGAAGGCGATGTATAAAGTAGTTGTATGTTTCATTGTGTCTCTATTGAAGGGGGATGTATAAATAATTTTGTATAGGAAAATATTCAATTTTGTGTATGCAAATACAATATACAGTACAGTATATTGTGTTGGTGGTTGACTAAAATATGCGTCCTGTTCCCCGGTAAATACTGTGGTCTGGTGACCCTTGTTGGCTTGGTTGTTGGGTGATTAGTCTAGCCTTGATTGTTGGGTGATTAGCCCAGCCTTGGTGGCTTGGTTGGTGGGTGATTAGCCTAGCCTTGGTGGCTTGGTTGGTGGGTGATTAGCCTAGCCTTGGTGGCTTGGTTGTTGGGTGATTAGCCCAGCCTTGGTGGCTTGGTTGGTGGGTGATTAGCCTAGCCTTGGTGGCTTGGTTGTTGGGTGATTAGCCCAGCCTTGGTGGCTTGGTTGGTGGGTGATTAGCCTAGCCTTGGTGGCTTGGTTGGTGGGTGATTAGCCTAGCCTTGGTGGCTTGGTTGTTGGGTGATTAGCCCAGCCTTGGTGGCTTGGTTGGTGGGTGATTAGTCTAGCCTTGGTGGCTTGGTTGTTGGGTGATTAGCCCAGCCTTGGTGGCTTGGTTGTCGGGTGATTAGTCTAGCCTTGGTGGCTTGGTTGTTGGGTGATTAGCCCAGCCTTGGTGGCTTGGTTGGTGGGTGATTAGTCTAGCCTTGGTGGCTTGGTTGTTGGGTGATTAGTCTAGCCTTGGTGGCTTGGTTGGTGGGTGATTAGTCTAGCCTTGGTGGCTTGGTTGTCGGGTGATTAGTCTAGCCTTGGTGGCTTGGTTGTTGGGTGATTAGTCTAGCCTTGGTGGCTTGGTTGTTGGGTGATTAGTCTAGCCTTGGTGGCTTGGTTGTCGGGTGATTAGTCTAGCCTTGGTGGCTTGGTTGTTGGGTGATTAGTCTAGCTTTGGTGGCTTGGTTGTCGGGTGATTAGTCTAGCCTTGGTGGCTTGGTTGTCGGGTGATTAGTCTAGCCTTGGTGGCTTGGTTGTTGGGTGATTAATCTAGCCTTGGTGGCTTAGTTGTTGAGTGATTAGTCTAGCCTTGGTGGCTTGGTTGTTGGGTGATTAGTCTAGCCTTGGTGGCTTGGTTGTTGGGTAACTAGCCTAGCCTAGCCTAGCCTTGGTGGCTTGGTTCTTAAGTGACTACACTAGCCTAGCCTTGGTGACTTGGTTGCTGGGTGACTAACCTATCCTAGGTGGCCTCGTTGTTAGGTAACTAGCCAAGCCTAATTTGTTAGGTAACTAACCAAGCCTAATTTGTTAGGTAACTAACCAAGCCTAATTTGTTAGGTAACTAGCCAAGCCTAATCTAACCAATAGCATACGTCCTCTCCACTGGCAAATACAGCAGCTGTTGTGAGATTAGAAGCGGCGAGACTGGCTGGAGACTCACTGGGGTGGTGGCCGGGTAGTAGCTACACACCCCTACGGGCTCACCATAGCCCGTGCTACTTGGAACTTTTTGTTCCAGGTAGCGAATCTTTAACAACAACAACAGCTACACACCGCTGATAATGATACAAGTCCACGAAACGTAAGCACTATCCAGGGCACATAAAAGCCTTGATTACGTCATTTTATGGAACAGATGATTTAGTCGCAAGGTTCTTAGGGCACGTTGACCAGACCACACACTAGAAGGTGAAGGGACGACGACGTTTCGGTCCGTCCTGGACCATTCTCAAGTCGATTGTGGCTTCTTAAGCCTTAAGGCACATTATATTAACAAAGTATAAGGATTTTCAATGTCAGTGAATACACTTTTCAAATGAGAGAGAGAGATGGATGGAGGGAGAGGGAGAAGCAGATATAAAGGAACCAAAGAACAAGGAAATCCATCACGTCCCTGTGCACGGCGCCATTACCCTCCGCTTCTCAGCATACCGAGACCAACAAAAGGCGAAATGAGTCGAGGCAGTCAGGCGTTGCCTATTAACGGCTCAACGACATATTTAGCAACGTAGAAGCCATTGGTGACCACTGACACGGCGACTAACATCTCAGGTCCGCGCCACTACTTTCCCAGAGAGCTCGACTCACTATTAATCCCAAGATCGACGCACTATTAATCCCACGCTCGACCCACTATTAATCCCACGCTCGACCCACTATTAATCTTAAGATCGACCAACTATTAATCCCAAGCTCGACCCACTATTAATCCCAAGATCGACCTCCCACTATTACTCCCAATCTCGACCCACTATTAATCCTAAGCTCGACTCACTATTAATGTGAAGGTGTAGGGGAGGCAGTCCTACATGTGAAGGTGTAGGGGAGGCAGTCCTACATGTGAAGGTGTGGGGGAGGCAGTTCCACATGTGAAGGTGTGGGGGAGGTAGTTCCACATGTGAAGGTGTGGGGGAGGTAGTTCCACATGTGAAGGTGTAGGGGAGGTAGTCCCACATATGAAGGTGTAGGGGAGGCAGTCCCACATGTGAAGGTGTAGGGGAGGCAGTCCCACATGTGAAGGTGTAGGGGAGGCAGTCCCACATATGAAGGTGTAGGGGAGGCAGTCCCACATATGAAGGTGTAGGGGAGGTAGTTCCACTTGTGAAGGTGTGGGGGAGGCAGTCCCACATATGAAGGTGTAGGGGAGGCAGTCCCACATATGAAGGTGTAGGGGAGGCAGTCCTACATGTGAAGGTGTGGGGGAGGTAGTTCCACTTGTGAAGGTGTGGGGGAGGTAGTTCCACTTGTGAAGGTGTGGGGGAGGTAGTCCCACATGTGAAGGTGTGGGGGAGGCAGTCCCACATGTGAAGGTGTGGGGGAGGCAGTCCCACATATGAAGGTGTAGGGGAGGCAGTCCCACATATGAAGGTGTAGGGGAGGCAGTCCCACATGTGAAGGTGTAGGGGAGGTAGTCCCACATGTGAAGGTGTAGGGGAGGCAGTCCCACATATGAAGGTGTGGGGGAGGCAGTCCCACATGTGAAGGTGTGGGGAAGGCAGTTCCACATATGAAGGTGTGGGGGAGGCAGTCCCACATGTGAAGGTGTGGGGGGAGGCAGTCCCACATGTGAAGGTGTAGGGGAGGCAGTCCCACATATGAAGGTGTGGGGGAGGCAGTCCCACATGTGAAGGTGTGGGGAAGGCAGTTCCACATATGAAGGTGTGGGGGAGGCAGTCCCACATGTGAAGGTGTGGGGGGAGGCAGTCCCACATGTGAAGGTGTAGGGGAGGCAGTCCCACATATGAAGGTGTGGGGGAGGCAGTCCCACATGTGAAGGTGTGGGGGAGGCAGTCCCACATATGAAGGTGTAGGGGAGGCAGTCCCACATGTGAAGGTGTAGGGGAGGCAGTTCCACATGTGAAGGTGTGGGGGAGGCAGTCCCACATGTGAAGGTGTAGGGGAGGCAGTCCCACATGTGAAGGTGTAGGGGAGGCAGTCCCACATATGAAGGTGTAGGGGAGGCAGTCCCACATGTGAAGGTGTAGGGGAGACAGTCCTACATGTGAAGGTGTAGGGGAGGCAGTCCTACATGTGAAGGTGTGGGGGAGGCAGTCCTACATGTGAAGGTGTGGGGGAGGCAGTCCCACATGTGAAGGTGTGGGGGAGGCAGTCCCACATATGAAGGTGTAGGGGAGGCAGTCCCACATATGAAGGTGTAGGGGAGGCAGTCCCACATGTGAAGGTGTAGGGGAGGCAGTCCCACATGTGAAGGTGTAGGAGAAGCAGTTCCGAGGGCAGAGGAAGAGAGAGCGACTCGCAGGTGGCACAGTACAGGAAGGAGTTCACCAGTTGGTGCTGAGGAAGGAGTTCCCTATTATTAAGAGATGGAAGGTCCTGGAGGTCAAAAGAGCTTCCTCCAAATGTCATGTGACCCCCGTGGGCACCATCACCAGTGCTCCGCGAGGCTCCTGGCGGTGTTGTGTCCCCCGGTACTCACACAGATATACATGCACATCTCTTGTATGTTTAATGCGATTGTTAACTTTCCTCTGTGTTCGTTTAGGTGTACTAAACTGCATGTGTTAGCAAAGAATAAGTCACAATAACAACAATGTAGTATACTAATAAACACTAACAACAGTGTACTATACTGTAGCTGTTGACGGGGAAGTTAATGTAGCCTTAAGGAAACTGACAGGTGGGTGGTGACGGAGCCGTAGACGGGGAAAAGGACTTTATCGATGAGACTCACCGAAGACAGAGAGGTAGACGGGGAAGGTGATGGGGTCAGTCTGGTGAGTGTTAACCTGACACTCGTACCGGCCAGAGTCTCGCGGCTGGACTGAGTTGATCTTGAGGATCCACGACTGGGAGTTGGAGGCCGGGGAGTGGATGACCTCGAACCTGTCGTCGGCAGTGTAGGTGTAGCGCGCCACCGTCAGGATGTGCAGGTCCGACACCCTGATCCACGACACCTGACCACACAAACACCACACATGTCTTACCTCATCACTGAAACCTGGGGCCAGGATATATCGGGCATTTACGTGTACACTTACGAAACCTGTACATCTTTCCTCAGTCACAACGGCTTTGTTTACATGTATTGAAGGGCGAGGATACAGAGGAAGATGAATACAAGGTCAGGTAATTGTCAAGAGAAAACACTCAGCCAATTCGACTATGTAACGAGAAAATCAGTAGGAGCCATGAGGAGGATTCGAACCAGCTCACTTGGTATACTCCCAAGTTAGCGCCCTAGACCGCTACGCCACGACATGGTCAAAAGCAATGCAACCTGGGATTCCATTGAATCCTCTAGGATTCCTGAGACTGACAACTGAAGCCCAATCAGGTTTTAAGCACTACCCTCCCCCCCCTCCCCCCCTCTGTGGCTAATGGTCCAGTAGCTCTCCTCAGATGCACACTGATTTTCTCATCAAACATAACGTTAATGTGATTTCATTGTGAATTAATATAGCACTATATAATGCACATTCATTGTGCTTTATATAGTCGTAATGACTTGGTGCTTTCCCCTGATAATTCCCCCATCATTGTGCATTTCACTATGTAATACTTGGAAGGAATATAAGGACAAGGAACTGAGATATGAGGAAAATGAGCTGGAATATGAGGACAATGAGCAGGGAAATGAGGACAAAGAACAGATATATGAGAGCAAAGACATTATGATATGAGAACAGTGAGGTGGGATATGAACAACGAGCTGGGACATAGTGACAATGAGCTGGGATACAGTGACAATGAGCTGGGATATAGTGACAATGAGCTGGGATACAGTGACAATGAGCTGGGATATAGTGACAATGAGCTGGGATACAGTGACAATGAGCTGGGATATAGTGACAATGAACTGGGATATAGTGACAATGAACTGGGATATAGTGACAATGAACTGCGATATAGTGGCAATGAGCTGGGATACAGTGACAATGAGCTGGGATATAGTGACAATGAGCTGGGATATGAAGACAAAAACCTGGAATATGAAGACAAGGAGCTGAAATAGGAGGACAAGGAGCTGGGGCACGAGGACAAGGAGCTGGGACACGAGGACAAGGAGCTGGGACACGAGGACAAGGAGCTGGGACACGAGGACAAGGAGCTGGGACACGAGGACAAGGAGCTGGGACACGAGGACAAGGAGCTGGGACACGAGGACTCGAAGCATTAAGCTAGGAGAATGAAGCATAAAGCTGGGACGATGAAACATTAAGCTGGGAGGATTAAGCATTAAGCTGGGAGGGTGAAACTTTCTAGAGTGTGAAACGTTAAACTGAGTATACAAATTTATGTTGCGGGAGGGGGGGGGGGTGGACCATTAAGCTGAGAGTGTGAAACATGAAGCTGAGTGTGAAACATGAAGCTGAGAGTGTGAAACATGAAGCTGAGAGTGTGAAACATGAAGCTGAGAGTGTGAAACATGAAGCTGAGAGTGTGAAACATGAAGCTGAGAGTGTGAAACATGAAGCTGAGTGTGAAACATGAAACTGAGAGTGTGAAACATGAAGCTGAGAGTGTGAAACATGAAGCTGAGAGTGTGAAACATGAAGCTGAGAGTGTGAAACATGAAGCTGAGAGAGTGAAACATGAAGCTGAGAAAGTGAAACATGAAGCTGAGAGTGTGAAACATGAAACTGAGAGTGTGAAACATGAAGCTGAGAGTGTGAAACATGAAGCTGAGTCTGAAACATGAAGCTGAGAATGTGAAACATGAAGCTGAGAGTGTGAAACATGAAACTGAGAGTGTGAAACATGAAGCTGAGTGTGAAACATGAAGCTGAGAGTGTGAAACATGAAGCTGAGAGTGTGAAACATGAAGCTGAGAGTGTGAAACATGAAGCTGAGAGAGTGAAACATGAAGCTGAGAGAGTGAAACATGAAGCTGAGAGTGTGAAACATGAAGCTGAGAGTGTGAAACATGAAGCTGAGAGTGTGAAACATGAAGCTTAGAGTGTGAAACATGAAGCTGAGAGTGTGAAACATGAAGCTGAGAGTGTGAAACATGAAGCTGAGAGTGTGAAACATGAAGCTGAGAGTGTGAAACATGAAGCTGAGAGAGTGAAACATGACGCTGAGAGTGTGAAACATGAAGCTGAGAGTGTGAAACATGAAGCTGAGTGTGAAACATGAAGCTGAGAGTGTGAAACATGAAGCTGAGAGAGTGAAACATGAAGCTGAGAAAGTGAAACATGAAGCTGAGAGTGTGAAACATGAAGCTGAGAGAGTGAAACGTGAAGCTGAGTGTGAAACATGAAGCTGAGAGTGTGAAACATGAAGCTGAGAGTGTGAAACATGAAGCTGAGAGTGTGAAACATGAAGCTGAGAGTGTGAAACATGAAGCTGAGTGTGAAACATGAAGCTGAGTGTGAAACATGAAGCTGAGAGTGTGAAACATGAAGCTGAGTGTGAAACATGAAGCTGAGAGTGTGAAACATGAAGCTGAGAGTGTGAAACATGAAGCTGAGAGTGTGAAACATGAAGCTGAGTGTGAAACATGAAGCTGAGTGTGAAACATGAAGCTGAGAGTGTGAAACATGAAGCTGAGTGTGAAACATGAAGCTGAGTGTGAAACATAAAGCTGAGTGTGAAACATGAAGCTGAGAGTGTGAAACATGAAGCTGAGAGTGTGAAACATGAAGCTGAGAGTGTGAAACATGAAGCTGAGTGTGAAACATGAAGCTGAGTGTGAAACATGAAGCTGAGAGTGTGAAACATGAAGCTGAGAGTGTGAAACATGAAGCTGAGAGTGTGAAACATGAAGCTGAGTGTGAAACATAAAGCTGAGTGTGAAACATGAAGCTGAGAGTGTGAAACATGAAGCTGAGAGTGTGAAACATGAAGCTGAGAGTGTGAAACATGAAGCTGAGAGTGTGAAACATGAAGCTGAGAGTGTGAAACATGAAGCTGAGAGTGTGAAACATGAAGCTGAGAGTGTGAAACATGAAGCTGAGAGTGTGAAACATGAAGCTGAGAGAGTGAAACATGAAGCTGAGAGTGTGAAACATGAAGCTGAGAGTGTGAAACATGAAGCTGAGAGTGTGAAACATGAAGCTGAGAGTGTGAAACATGAAGCTGAGAGTGTGAAACATGAAGCTGAGAGTGTGAAACATGAAGCTGAGTGTGAAACATGAAGCTGAGTGTGAAACATGAAGCTGAGAGTGTGAAACATGAAGCTGAGTGTGAAACATGAAGCTGAGAGTGTGAAACATGAAGCTGAGAGTGTGAAACATGAAGCTGAGAGTGTGAAACATGAAGCTGAGTGTGAAACATGAAGCTGAGAGTGTGAAACATGAAGCTGAGAGTGTGAAACATGAAGCTGAGAGTGTGAAACATAAAGCTGAGAGTGTGAAACATGAAGCTGAGAGTGTGAAACATGAAGCTGAGAGTGTGAAACATGAAGCTGAGAGTGTGAAACATGAAGCTGAGAGTGTGAAACATGAAGCTGAGTGTGAAACATGAAGCTGAGAGTGTGAAACATGAAGCTGAGAGTGTGAAACATAAAGCTGAGAGAGTGAAACGTGAAGCTGAGTGTGAAACATGAAGCTGAGAGAGTGAAACGTGAAGCTGAGTGTGAAACATGAAGCTGAGAGTGTGAAAAATGAAGCTGAGAGTGTGAAACATGAAGCTGAGTGTGAAACATGAAGCTGAGTGTGAAACATGAAGCTGAGAGTGTGAAACATGAAGCTGAGAGAGTGAAACGTGAAGCTGAGAGTGTGAAACATGAAGCTGAGTGTGAAACATGAAGCTGAGAGTGTGAAACATGAAGCTGAGAGAGTGAAACGTGAAGCTGAGAGTGTGAAACATGAAGCTGAGTGTGAAACATGAAGCTGAGAGTGTGAAACATGAAGCTGAGAGTGTGAAACATAAAGCTGAGAGAGTGAAACGTGAAGCTGAGTGTGAAACATGAAGCTGAGAGAGTGAAACGTGAAGCTGAGTGTGAAACATGAAGCTGAGAGTGTGAAAAATGAAGCTGAGAGTGTGAAACATGAAGCTGAGTGTGAAACATGAAGCTGAGTGTGAAACATGAAGCTGAGAGTGTGAAACATGAAGCTGAGAGAGGGAAACGTGAAGCTGAGAGTGTGAAACATGAAGCTGAGTGTGAAACATGAAGCTGAGAGTGTGAAACATGAAGCTGAGAGAGTGAAACGTGAAGCTGAGAGTGTGAAACATGAAGCTGAGTGTGAAACATGAAGCTGAGAGTGTGAAACATGAAGCTGAGAGAGTGAAACGTGAAGCTGAGTGTGAAACATGAAGCTGAGAGTGTGAAACATGAAGCTGAGAGTATCAAAGGTTTCAATACTGAGCACTTGGCTTGGAGCTGGAGAAGCTTGCTTTATTGTGGGCAGTAAAGCTGAGTGTTGTGAGATACTCCTTGAGATATAAGACAACTTGTGAGGTAAGTCATAAGGCTGGGAGATACGTCATAAGGCTGGGAGAGTTACAGTAAGGCTGAAATATAATCCATATGACTGAGAGATAATGATAATGTTGACACTCTAACACTTTCCCTCAAGCACTGGCCCTCAAACACTGGCCCTCAAACACTGGCCCTCAAACACTGGCCCTCAAACACTGGCCCTCAAACACTGGCCCTCAAACACTGGCTCTCGAACACTGGCCCTCAAACACTGGCCCTCAAACACTTTCCCTCAGACACTGGCCCTCAAACACTTTCCCTCAGACACTGGCCCTCAAACACTAGCCCTCAAACACTGGCCCTCAAACACTGGCCCTCAAACACTGGCCCTCAAACACTGGCCTCAAACACTGGCCCTCAAACACTGGCCCTCAAACACTGGCCCTCAGATTCTGGCCCTCAGACACTGGCCCTCAAACACTGGCCCTCAAACACTGGCCCTCAAACACTGGCCCTCAGACACTGGCCCTCAAGCACTGGCCCTCAAACACTGGCCCTCAAACACTGGCCCTCAAACACTGGCCCTCAAACACTGGCCCTCAGATTCTGGCCCTCAGACACTGGCCCTCAAACACTGGCCCTCAAACACTGGCCCTCAAACATTGGCCCTCAAACACTGGCCCTCAGATTCTGGCCCTCAGACACTGGCCCTCAAACACTGGCCCTCAAACACTGGCCCTCAAACATTGGCCCTCAAACACTGGCCCTCAGATTCTGGCCCTCAGACACTGGCTCTCAAACACTGGCCCTCAAACACTGGCCCTCAAACACTGGCCCTCAAACACTGACCCCTCAGACACTGGCCCTCAAACACTGGCCCTCAAACACTAGCCCTCAAACACTGGCCCTCAAACACTGGCCCTCAGATTCTGGCCCTCAGACACTTGCCCTCAAACACTGGCCCTCCAACACTGGCCCTCCAACTCTGGCCCTCAAACACTGGCCCTCCAACACTAGCCCTCCAACACTGGCCCTCCAGCTCTGGCCCTCAAACACTGGCCCTCCAACACTGGCCCTGCAACTCTGGCCCTCAAACACTGGCCCTCCAACTCTGGCCCTCAAACACTGGCCCTCTGACACTGGCCCTCAAACACTGGCCCTCCAACACTGGCCCTTCAACACTGGCCCTCCAACACTGGCCCTCCAATACTGACCCTGCAACTCTGGCCCTCAAACACTGGCCCTCCAACTCTGGCCCTCAAACACTGGCCCTCAAACACTGGCCCTCAAACACTGGCCCTCAGACACTGGCCCTCAAACACTGGCCCTCCAACACTGGCCCTCCAACACTGGCCCTCACCGTCTTGTTGCCTCTGTTATGGACAATACAGTGAAGGTAAGCTATGTCATCCTTGAGGGCCGTCACGTTCTGAGGAGGAGACGGGTCGAACATGGGTCCAGGGGCATTTGGGTACCAGGGTATGGGGCGCCGTGCCCCTGCTGGTGACGGGGAGGGCTCAGGGAAGACTATGCCCGCGTCTCTCCCATAGTAACGGGATCCCGGCAGTCTCCCGTAGCTCGGTGTGCCTGCAACAGGTGAACAGAAAACGAGAATAAAGTTAGTTCCCTTTTTGTTCTATTGGAATAACCCAAATATGTTAATTAACATGTGGAACAGTAGCTATACAGCCTTACCTAATCTGCCCAAGGCCTATTTAACCAATCTTAAGCCTAAGATATTCCATATAAGCCTAATTTAGGTGACATATGTGGTATAAGTTCTATCATTAGTGGAACGCGTATTCTTAAAGTGTTATTTTCTTATTAGAAACTTCTTAAAATAGTAAAAGGCTCTTCTTTCTTATTTGTTCCTGTGTCTGGAAGTGAATGAAGCTGTTCTGATCGAGGAAAGATGTACAGGTTTCGTTAGTGAGTACATAAATGCTTGATGAATATTGGCTCTGGCTTCAATCCTGCAGTTGGCTTTCACTACCAAACATCGAACACATCCTGCTGAGTAGAACGTGTTGACGCTGGATTACCACGTGTTGACACTGGATTACCACGTGTTGACACTGGATTACCACGTGTTGACACTGGATTACCACGTGTTGACACTGGATTACCACGTGTTGACACTGGATTACCACGTGGTGACACTGGATTACCACGTGGTGACACTGGATTACCACGTGTTGACGCTGGATTACCACGTGTTGACACTGGATTACCACGTGTTGACACTGGATTACCACGTGTTGACACTGGATTACCACGTGTTGACACTGGATTACCACGTGTTGACACTGGATTACCACGTGTTGACACTGGATTACCACGTGTTGACACTGGATTACCACGTGTTGACACTGGATTACCACGTGGTGACACTGGATTACCACGTGTTGACACTGGTACCACGTGGTGACACTGGATTACGTGTTGACACTGGATTGGTGACACTGGATTACCACGTGTTGACACTGGATTACCCCGTAGTGACACTGGATTACCACGTGGTGACACTGGATTACCACGTGGTGACACTGGATTACCACGTGTTGACACTGGATTACCACGTGGTGACACTGGATTACCACGTGGTGACACTGGATTACCACGTGTTGACACTGGATTACCACGTGGTGACACTGGATTACCACGTGGTGACACTGGATTACCACGTGTTGACACTGGATTACCACGTGGTGACACTGGATTACCACGTGTTGACACTGGATTACCACGTGGTGACACTGGATTACCACGTGGTGACACTGGATTACCACGTGGTGACACTGGATTACCACGTGTTGACACTGGATTACCACGTGGTGACACTGGATTACCACGTGTTGACACTGGATTACCACGTGGTGACACTGGATTACCACGTGGTGACACTGGATTACCACGTGGTGACACTGGATTACCACGTGGTGACACTGGATTACCACGTGGTGATACAATAAGATGCCAGTTATTATGACACTAAGACTAAAGTCTGTTCAGTTAAACAACTCCTCCAACCTGTCCTCTCACATAATACGTCGCAATTCTTACGGAATGCGACGCATTAGACAATATTAAAACACAATAATATTGACGTGTCCTGTAAATTGGTCTTGATAGCATAGTTGAATTTTTATGTTTCTGGTCAGGCAAAACAGTCGCATTTTATACGGAGTGGCACACGGAGAGAACGAGCCCATCAGTCACGTACAGACAGTCGCAGCAATAAAGCCAGAATGATTAAAATTATTATCATCATTTTAGTAATTCCGACAGTCCTTATTAGAGCCATAAAAGTCGCACTCTCTCCACTAAGCAGATATTGCTGTCAAGGCTCAGTGTCAAATATGTCTTTTACCTTCTGAATGACGCTTTATTTGGCAGCCGAGATTCACAGCCTGTCTGTCACAGTGTCCAGTGCTGAATTTCGCGCAGCGAATTAAACTGAATGTATGTATTAATTGCCTGATGGGGTACCCGGCGGTGCCCGGGTTGATCTGGTGGCTTCGGGTTGACCTCAACCCGCCTGCGACAGTCATTGGTTAATTTTTTCATATTACACGGTGGCGTAATGGGGTACAATTCTAGGCACCTTTTGTAAGCCTATGTAAACAATTGTAAGCCTTAATAAACCTTTGTAAACCTTTTTAATCTTCTATAAACTTTTGTGAGCCTTTATTAACCCTTATAAACCTTTGTAAACCTTTATAAACCTTTGTAAGTCTTTTTAAACCGTTATAAACCATTTGTAAGCCTTTATAAGCTTCTATAAACCTTTATAACCCTTTACAAACCTTTATGAACTTTGTAATCCTTGTTAAACCTCTATAAACATCTATAAACTTTGTAAACCATTATAAACCTTTGTAAGCCTTTATGAAACTTTGTAAACCTTTTATAATCTTCTATAATCCTTTTTTAAGCCTTTGTAAACCTTTATAAACTTTGGGGTCCCGGTAGTAGAGTCGGGTTCATTCTCGACGCACAATCGAGAATTCCGCGTTCGAATCCCAGACGATGCAGAAGTGGTTAGGCACATTTCCTTTCACCTAATGCCTCTGTTCACCTAGCAGTAAGTAGGTACCCAGGAGTTAGTCTTCTTGTTGTAGGGTTGTTACTAGTTAGGGCGGGGTCAGTAGTTCGACCTTGTGTGTGTGGGGGAGACCTCGATAAAAGCCAAACGTGTATGTATACACTCTGGCTTCCTGTCCCCCGACTTAATGAATTATTATTATTATTATTATTATTATTATTATTATTATTATTAGAAACCATTGTAATCTTCGTAAACCTTTGTAAACCTTTAGAAACCTTTATAACTGTTGTAAACATTTGTAAACCTTTAAAAGCCTGAGAGGTGGTTGAATACACCGTGCTGTATACCACGCGGGTCTGCCAGCCCCACCCTCCACCCTCCACTTGACACTCCGTAAGAAAGGCAACTGTTTCACATTACCAGAAACATGCGAACCCAACCAACCTGTCGAGGCCCAGGTATAGAAAACGTCAATATTAACATGCGCTTTAACTTATTGTAATACGTCACATTTTAGCGTATTTAGCGAATATTTTTTTATTTTATTTATTTTTGTTTGAGGACAAAAATAAGGAAACAATTATTGCCAGAGTAAATTAAGTTAGTTTTGGCTGAACGTCTTGAGTTATAAAACCCTCTAAGGCTGCCCATGACCTTAACTCAATTGGTGAACATAAATAAATCATTGATTTTGTTGATAAAATATACCTGATAACACCTCAACTAACAGGTTGGGGTAATGTTAACAACATTCCCCCTCCCCCCCTTCGGTGATAACAGTGGCTCTAACTAGGGGTAAAGGGGACCCCGACCAGCCATCAAAGAGGTCTTTAATACTGAATTGTCAGATGTGGTTAAACACCTGACTCTTCACCGACATTGTATAATACATCGCTCCTGAGCACTAACATGCTGGCATTAATGACCTCTCTATTACCACGTATTAAAAGTATTATTAATAGAATTAGTCGATCAATATCTCTCTCTCTCTCTCTCTCTCTCTCTCTCTCTCTCTCTCTCTCTCTCTCTCTCTCTCTCTCTCTCTCTCTCTCTCTCTCTCTCTCTCTCTCTCTCTCTCTCTCTCTCTCTCTCTCTCTCTCTCTCTCTCTCTCTCTCTCTCTCTCTCTCTCTCTCTCTCTCTCTCTCTCTCTCTCTCTCTCTCTCTCTCTCTCTCTCTCTCTCTCTCTCTCTCTCTCTCTCTCTCTCTCTCTCTCTCTCTCTCTCTCTCTCTCTCTCTCTCTCTCTCTCTCTCTCTCTCTCTCTCTCTCTCTCTCTCTCTCTCTCTCTCTCTCTCTCTCTCTCTCTCTCTCTCTCTCTCTCTCTCTCTCTCTCTCTCTCTCTCTCTCTCTCTCTCTCTCTCTCTCGCTTTCCCTTCATGTAATTATCGCTCTTTGTCCAACTCCTTCCTCATGCTCCCCTTCTGAATTTGTGTCCATGCTCTTCTTCACCGCCCTGCTTCCTGCCTCCCGTGTTGCTTCTAAAGAATCCCTGGATTGTCCAGCTTTACTAAGGTGCCTCGGATATGCCCTCAGGGGCTCTTGTACGCCTCCTTGATCACGTCAGGGGTTGACGGCCGCCCTCGCCACGAAGGTCTACTGGGGAGGAAGGTTACCCTGGCCAGGATGGTCTACAAGGGAGGAAGGTTACCCTGGCCAGGATGGCCTACAAGGGAGGAAGGTTACCCTGGCCAGGATGGCCTACAAGGGAGGAAGGTTACCCTGGCCAGGATGGCCTACAAGGGAGGAAGGTTACCCTGGCCAGGATGGTCTACAAGGGAGGAAGGTTACCCTGGCCAGGATGGCCTACAAGGGAGGAAGGTTACCCTGGCCAGGATGGCCTACAAGGGAGGAAGGCCAAGGCAGAGCTCAGGTGACATTAGCCCTGGATAAGCCTCAAGGGGCTGTGTGAGAAATGGTTCTCAGCCTGCAGACTACAGCCCCATACTTGTTCTCGAAGCCTGGAGCAGTCTGGGCTGGTGACGAGGCAGAGGGAGTGTGGAGCTGGAGTCCTGGGGGAAGGGGCAAGGTGTGGCTGGGGTGTGACTCGGGCCACAGGGGATGGGGGGGGGGAGAGTATGTAATCATCCACACTGGCGAAAGTGAATTTCATCAGCTACATGTAAAGTAAGTGCCTGCCTTCAGCCATCATCACAGATACTGCCAAAACTCATTGCCAATTAGAGAATCCTCATTAGCTTAGGACGTTTGGTTTATTGAATTAATAAGTTCAAATTCGTTTTTGCTAAGTTTCCTTGAGTATCAACTAACACCTACTTCAACCTGTCCTCAGGGGCGAGATTCGCTCATGGATTGAATTGGGAACGACTACATAACAATAATGTGAAATATGACATTCGAAAACTATTTCAGTGTGCCCGAGAATTCTGTTTACTGAAAACCAAATTCTTAAAAGAAAACGTGTTCAGCATACACATTATATATTTTAAATGAATTATCTATAACACAATAACGTAATAAATTGAGAAAACTATCTTTTTACGAGAAAGATTAATTTGCCAGTTTACATGTAGACTATTACT